CTAAGACCTGCTGAGTATGTATGTTTTTCAACTCGAGTTTCAGTGACAATACTTAACGCATCGTCTCTACACTCACAGGGTTCTTGCAGGTTTCAGTTTGTTACATTTAAGACCTTTTTAAGACCTTTTAAGACCATTATGTGTGAAGTTTAAGACCAACACGACACATAAATAGAAACATTAGAATGATCCCAGAAATTCTTAAACATATTTTAAGTTTGTAAAATACACACACTGACTGATGTCTATGGAAGCGGCAATAATAATCCTTTCCATTCTAATAAGACGACACGTTTTATTCATATCAGATACACATTGTGTAAGTAGCTTTACATTTTAAACTATTCTTCTCCCAGTTCTCCGGCCACTTTCATGTATTTCATGAGAAGTTGAGGAATTGACGTGTTGTAAACTAACATGGCGCCGCCCATCGCACAAACAGCTGATTTGTGCTGACACCTTCATAACGATCAACTAACGCGATCGTTATGAAGGTGTTTAAACAACAAAACACATCCACTTGCACATATTTGACAATCGGAATATCAGTGTTTCATGTTATAGCTAATACATTTGTGAATATTTTGAATAGAAAAGGGAAAATGACATCAAAGCAGATCATCATTCATTCAGCACTGTTGTGGTTGCGCTGTGTCACGTGACAAGCAATGACGCGTCACCATGGAAACATTAAAGTGACAGGTTCTAAATAACGGTCGCCTAGAAAAACTCACGCTGGGGGATCAGTTCGAATATTTTAAATTTACGAGTGAAAGGGTTAAATACAAAAACAACAAACAAAAATAAACACAAATTAACAATGGTAAATTATTTAATGTATTTATTCTTTTTAGTAAACTGTTGTTTTTTGTTAGAAACTCACGCTTACGGATGACGTGGTCGTTGAGCGCCCTCAGGCGACCGTTATGATTACATTCAAATGACTACACAATTTACAGATGATTAACGAATATTTTTAAATCATCCACCAAATTATCATCTCTTTCTTGCAGTTTAATGAGTAAACAACGAACATCAAGACATACGGTCCGCTCATGGTGTTAATTAGATCTCTCTTGATGAAGTCCGCTATACCAAATCTTGCTATATAAGCGATCTTGTTCGGTCCGCACGTAAACGTTTTCGCAATGCTCGAGCGCCTTCACACCCAATGTCCCTAACGTTAGCTGTATTATCTTCTTGCATATTTTGCAGCGAGCTTCATATCTATTGCTAGGGACAGCTTGTAACCAGCTGCAAAACTCACCCTTATCGAGCCAAGTCATGTTAAACACACACTTCCCCTGTCCCCATGATATTTGAAAACTACGCGCTCGACGACAGCCCCGACTTAACGTTGCAACTTGCACGAATTCGGCGGGCAGGTAGCTAGTGAACCAACTTCCTTCACTTTATTGGCGGCGCGGGTTACATACCGCCACCTACTTTACAGGAGTTATACCTGCAGTGATCACGCAATGGGATTATCACATGGGATTATCATCATCACGTAGCCTACTAGAAAACAAAACAACCAACATTTTATTTTCGGCGGACAACGCTTGACCACAATTAACAAAATTAACGAAGGTAAGAATTTTAAGACTTGGGTAAATTAAATTTAAGACCTAAACTTGTGTTTTTTAGACTTTTTGAGGCCTTAAATTTCACTTTCTGAATTTAAGTCTCTTTTAGACTTTTTAAGACTCCGCGGGAACCCTGCACTCACATGTCTGTGATAATTGGATTTCAGTAGCTGACTGCATGAATGCGAGTGAACTTAGTTAGGAGAGAGTAAATAGTTAGAGTAGGTAATGTGTCCATGTAAACTAGTTGGTTATATATGTTTTATATTACGGGGCTGTTGAATGCTTGATTCTGATTGGTTGACGAACGCTCTAAGTTGTGCAATTATTTTTAGGGAAACGCACGGCTAAAGAAGTTCCAGGCAGGTCTTGACCGCATTAGTTTCATATCACTTCGCCAAATCATTTTAGTTATTTCAAAGGTCTTTACAGCCCACAAAACTGACGATCTTATCAGTAAAATAGTTTAGAAACTTTAAAGCTACATGACATTTCTAACTAGCGAGATGCACTGCAGATAAACATAGTTTCTCTATTAGTAGATGTTGGTGCCAAACACTGTTGAGAGACGCACAGACTGAGGTAATTCACACACGCTTAATCTCTGTCTCTCTCTCTCTCTCTCTCTCTAATAACTGCATTAGACTGCTAGCAGTTGCTTAAGTCTCCGTTACTAGCTCTAAAATGACATTTTGGAATTAGCAACGGAGGCTTGGGATGAGATGTGTAAAAAAAAATTGTCCCACACACAAGAGCGTTTTAAGGACAAAAACTTGGCAAACGTCTTGAGATACATCATGTTTTGAGGTGTGGTAACTGTAGAATAAGTGGAATAATTGACTCTGGGCCGTGGAATTATTAGAAAAATAATGAACACCCGAGGTGCATTACCACCTTGAGTGTGCATTATTTTTCTAATAATTCAACGGCCCGTCGTCAATTATTCCTTACATGTGTGATGATGAGGACACAACATATGCACATCTACTCATTCACCTCTCTCAGCTTGCTTGGTCTCATCAGTTGTAAACACTCCAAGGATAAAAGATACATCTCTCCCAGCATGCTTTTTGCACAACAGATCGGTTAAAACCTCCCTTGAATGAGACAAATGTCAGGAAATTGTTGAATTTTGAAGTAAGCGATGTCACATCCAATTAAAATAGTCAACAATAGAACAAGGAGCTTTACTAGGCTAAAGCGGGGATGGGTTTGATGAACTGTCTGTAGGCAGCAGGATGAGGAACATAAAATAATGGCTGTCTCTGTTTGAGCCTCTAAGAGCTCCAAGTACCGATCTGGCACAATCAACCGCACATTTCATACAGACACTTAAAGTACAAATCAATGCTGCAGTCCCTCTGAAATAATTGGAACACAGTAATATAAACCACAATGGCATCAGTGGAAAAAAGCAGACTTCTGTTTCCTTTGCAATGGCAGCTTCTGATTGTACTATGTCTTGAAGGCATGGCTGTTGCTTCAGGAGGTGGAAGAACGGTTTGTCTAATCAGTAGCAAGAAGCTGTTTTTCATTAAAAGTCATCATTGGCTGGAGAGATCCTAGGCTCCGGATAATCTGTCTCACTATGGTTTGGGTCTGATTCAACGTGGATCACGTTGAGTTTCTGGGAATTATGTCTAACCTCATGGTGACATGGTGGGATGTGAGCCAAAAAGTGTAGGCTAATTGGGATGTAATCTGGAGGTAACAAAGCGAGTTACAGAGTATTCTGAGATCTGTTTTACTATTACACATAGTGAGTTTAGACTAGTGTGTAAATAAACAATGAAAGCATAGATGGTTGTGGTAGAGATTACATTTTCTAAAATAACTGGTCAGTGGTTTACCTGAACAACTAATCACCTAATCTTAAATAAGCCCTTAATAATTAGGCTGGTCTCAGATTCACCCTATACTGAACAGACATATTTCTTAAGAAATAAAAAAAAACTTTTAGATAGAAACTTTAAAACTTGACAAAAGCAAAAAATAATAATAAAATGCAATGCAACGTCTTAAACAACAGCTAATATAAAATAAAGATAAAAATATCAATAAAAATAACCAAATAAAATAAAACAAAACAAAGCATCATGACCCTTGTGATTCATCCCTATTATGTGTTCAAACAGGTTAACAAAAATGAAAAGTTGAATTTAAAATAGTTAAATGAGTATGAGCGTCCAACATGGCAACCACCTGTGGTACTAGTGTTAATTTTGTCAGCTATTTTTACATTTAGTCTTAGTCCTGTGTCAAATGTACTTTTTATCATATTTAGTCAACCTTGCTCTGTTTTCATTCAGTCAAGTTTTAGTCGACTAAAAGCCTGGGCATTTTAGTCTAGTTTTAGTTAAAAAAAAAAAGAAAAGAAAAAAAGTCATATTTTCGTCATGCTACATAATGGTTAAATTGGCTAACGATTATTTTGCTTAAAATTATAATCACAACAACTGTTGTCATTTGAGAAATTTATATTTGTATTTCATCAGAATTATTGCACTTTCATATACAGTATAAGTACAAATCTAGAGAATGTCTCATAATGTCTCATCAAACTCATATGCATGGTTTATTTGATCTAATCTAGTTTCCTGATTTTTTTCATAGGCTATTTGTCATAAATTAACCCATTATCTACATTATGAAAACAAGACATATCTCTCAAATTAAAACGGTGAAATTTCTAGCCTAATTCCAAATTACATTCATGTTTTTTAATAAACAAATAAATAAAAAGACCTACATAGGTGCATTTATTCATATAGTCACGATTCATGTTTGGAATTATTACAGACGGTGTGATCGCAGTTTTAGTCACAGAAACCAGCGCAAGCGGCTTTTGAAGGAACACAGACTGGCTGAATGACACTTTAATTTTGCAAAATATCTCAAATGGAGATCGCTGAACACCAGCTTACATATTTGTCTGTGTTTTTGAAGTTTTCAGATCATTTGTGCTTCTTCAGCTGTGTTTAGAGAGAGAGTAAAACATCGTGTGTAAAACAAAATGTGTTCTTTTAACAGAAAAGCTCTGATTGGGGGATTTAAATTCTTGAAATCTGGCAACTGCAAGCACGAAAGCTCGTCGCGGCTTGTTAAAAACAGTCTGTAATACAAAAACAAAGAGAGGTTGTAATGCATTTATTTTTTAACTACATTTTAGTCTCATCTTTTTTTGTCAGCAATATTGCATGTTGCTATAGTCAGTTATCGTTTAATGACGTTGACGTTGTCTCGTTATAGTCTCGTCTTAGTCATGGAAGAAAAGGTCGTCAACAAATATTTTTCATCATAGATTTCGTTAACGAAATTAACACTATGGTACCAAAGCACCCAGTTCAGACCAAAAAAAAAAAGTTAAAGTAAAAAAAAAACACTAAAAAAAACCCTGTCAACGTGTAGACTTACCAGCCTGGTTAGTAGTGATGTTGACTGATGCATATTGGGGTGAATAAGGGCTCTGGTCTGATACACCGTTGACAGCCTGGACTTCGAAAGTGTACTGGGTGTGAGCCAGAAGTTCACTTATAAAGACCCGGCTCTCCGTGAGCCCCAGCTGTCGTGGAACGAACTGCACGTTGTCCCCACAACGCGTGCAGCCCCCTCTGCCACCTCCGCAACTCTTGCAGATGATGTTGTAGACCACGTCATCACGACCACCAGTCTCCCGCGGAGGATTCCACTCCAGCATCAGTGAAGTCTCATTCACACTGGAGATGACATTTTGAGGAGCCGATGGCACAGCTGGAAAAACAAACAATTTTTTTTTTTTTTACGAAAGTCTGAAAGAAAAATTAGGTTACCCCTGTAAATGACTCAAATAATTGTTATCTGCCCTTTGTTTGAAATATATTAGGGGTGTAACGGTTCTCTGTAAAAAATCGAACCGACGGACCGTTCTCCACCCAAGGTTCGGCACACACTTGCGCCGCGTTTTTCAAAAAAATCTGACGCCGTATGGTTTGCTGAAAATAACAAGACTAATAGGCTAATGCATGTTTCTGACGATGGATCCGCATTCTGGCTTCCCTTAAACTTTGTTCAATGCTCTACCATGACGAGTCATTTACGCCGCCATCACCCGGGTGTCGATAGTGCGCAAGTGCAGGTCAGACCTGAACAGCACACATTGCTATCAGTGTTTAAACTAAACTCATTTGGCAATTTAAACATTTAAGAAGACGCAAAAGAGAACTTGCGCACGTTGTGAGAAGATTTGTGTGAGCACTCATCTGAAGCGTGCACATGAAAAGCCTTGCACTCAAACAGTGCGCAAATATTGAGTTCTCACGGACAATTTTACACACAAATGATGTCAACATGCCCATATTGGCGAGCATCCTAGCAAACAGTAGGTTATGTCTTAAGTAAACGTAAACCGTTCTGAAAGATCAGTGTACTGGATCTGTGTATTATGTCTTAAAGTGACAGCAGCCGAATTTTCCTGCTGCTGTCTGTGTTTTTAATGTTAATCAAACAACAAAAGACAAGGGAATAACTCACATACCTTTTATCGCTAGGATAGTAGCGTGACAAATAAATGAAGGAAGGTGAAGGAGATGAAAGGATCGGTAAATGTGAAGTCGGACTTGAACTCCCAGTCCCAAAACCCACTTAAACTTACCAGCCCAAATGTGTCAGAATGTGTGCTAAGCACTTTAATTTGAATTTTCAGAGGGGTAGACAGAATAATACAATGAAACAATGTACGTTGTGTGCAATTCCATGTGTATTTCCTTGCATATTTCCATCATGCTAATTTGAATTACGATAACATCACACAAATCACAGGCTTACTTGGGTCTATTGAAAAAAAAAAAATTTCCGAGCTGTTCCTGTGTTTGTAAACATCATTTGCATTTGCTCATGCACACACAGCACATTTGAAAAAGAGTAAGAGCACACCAAACAAACGCACCTCTGAGATCTCGTCCTGACTGACAGCCCAACTAAAGCTAACAATACCCTGTGTTTATCTTCAGCCGGCATGTGCTCCCAATTACTGTGGGTGCTCCTCTAGGGCCAAGTGAGGTAATCAAGAAACAACCCACTGCTTTTTGCCCTTTTAAAAAAGCCCCCCCAAAAATGAAGCCTCCAATTGATTACCTATTTACAGCTGTGAATCATTAAGAGCCATCTCTGTCTTGAAGCTCTGTCGCACGCAAAACTGTATCTAAACATCCCATTCCCAGGTTAGTGGGCGGTAAAGGCTGCTGTTTCCTCTCTTTAATCAGGCAAAGGCCCACTGAGCTTCAACTCTGCGACACGATGCTGCTCTCTTATTCACAACAGCTGCTCTCCTCCCAGGGCCAGGCTTTTGCAAATGGCTTTTGTAAAAAAGCTGTCTCGTTCTTCCCTTTCTTTCTCCTTCGTCTCTGCCCCCACCTTGGCTTTTTCAGGAAGAGACAAAAACATGCCGTTCACAACAACATAAGGAGCTGTCTGTCTCTCTTTCCTAGTCTTCATGGCCTCATCTGTTTCAATAATAGGGCCATGAGTAATTTTTCTCTGCCTGATCTGTAGTCAGTGGGAATGAAGAGAAAAGGCTGCTGTTTGCAATGGTTTTGGAAGAGAGGTGTGCTGTTGACTATGCTGTAGGGGTAGAAAATACGTCTTATCCATTTTAGTGATTTACTTTGTATTGTTGGATCAGTCGGATCAGTTTGGATTTTTCAGCACATTCATGCGCACCAAGCTAAAAATATTCACAATGTAATTTTTGTATCATTTATTTATTCATATGTGTAAATGTATTTATTAAAAATTTGATGCTATTATACTTTAAAGTTTCTGCCAGATAAAAACTATATCTTTATAATTAAGACATTATTAAGACATTATATCCTAATTTTGTGCAAGATACATACTCAAAGATTAAAAAATACTATATTTAAAAACAATGTATTTTTTCTTTTCTTTTTTAAAGACATTGAAAGTTCACACTGAAAGTTCAGAAATATAGTTTTAAAATTAGGCTTTCATGTAGATTTGGAAAAAGCATAGAGGACGCACTTGTACAGGGCATCTCTAAGGGGTCAGAGTCTGTGCGGTAATATCCATTTCGGCAGACACAGTTGGTGGCTCCGTCGTTGGTTGTGCGGCTGTTGATTGGACACTGCAGGCATTTCTCGTCACCTTGCGCAGTCTTGAAGAAACCTGAAGGGCATGCTGAAACAGAGACAAAAAAAGGGATGAGAGAAGGACAAGAAAGTGAACTTTTTAATATTACATGATTCCCAAGTGCCGGAGGACACTAAAGAATGATGGGCCTCTGAAGTCAAGCTGAAACACACTTTGGAGCATTTCACACATGTAAAGAGAACCAGTATAGTCAGGTAAACATAGCATGTTCAGTATATGGGGCTGAATAATTCAAATCATGTGCGCTTTCATGACACGCTAAGAGCATTCCACTTCATGTGATCTGCTCATGGATGTCCTCACTTTGATAATTAATAGGTTGATTGTAGAAACAGCGTGTAAAAGACAGGAAAAAAGGACAATAAGGCCAGAAACAGTATATTCATGTACAAATATGCAGATTAATGTGCTTCAGGTCTCAAGGATTGTGACTCCTCTTTTCTTGTTTCCTTTTGCGTACTTTTCACCTGTGACACCCACAACCACACATTTTGGAGTGAAAGAGAACATGAAAAAAAAAAAGAAGGGTGTGACTTGGTTTTATCAATAGGGAATTGATTGGATTGTGAAAAGCAGACCTCCAAAGCCAAGACTTTTGAGAAAGCTTTTGAATTGTGGAGGTCAAGTTCACTCTTGAGAACACCTCATTCTCAAAATAATGGTAATGGTTTCTTTTCAAATCTATATATTTTTTGCTGCTATTGTTAAGTTTTATTTACGTTAAACAGGGATTAAAGTGATGTCCTTGTATTGAATTCACCCGACTGGATGAAAGTCAGTCATACAGGCAGCAGAAAGTAAATACGGGAAAGTAAACAGCACGACAGCAGTTTAAAAAAAACTAAATTATGTTATGTTTTGGGTTATCTATCCCCACAAGACCACCAATGTGTATTAAGAAGAGAACAGGGTAATTTTTGATTTACATTGACTATGTTTGTTGTTTTAATCACCGTTGCTCTACCAGAGAGCAGGAGTGTATTTTCATGTGTACATACCGGAGTTCCCTGGAGGCCTTTCAGACCTTGCGAGTTTTCATGTTGTACTTCTCTGTACCAAACAAACAAAGCACTTCCCAAAGAGTGGGATAACTGACAAGCACTTGGCCCGGATGAACAGCACATTGCTGTGGAGTACATCCCCCAGCAGTAACCCAACCATGAGCGCAAGAGAAAAAGACCACAGCAAGTGACAGCCCACATCCACACACATCTGGAAAGAGAAGCCGTCTTGGCTCGCCAAGTTTGAAAAACTCTGTCACCCCATTCCTAATGGGTGACCTTGCTTCCACGCCAAATTATTTGAACACACCCTCAATATCTGAACCGTTTCAGAGGAGCTAAAAAGCAATAAAGCACAGACACTTCGGCCTCCATAGTCTAAGCTGGCAATCACGGCAAGGATTTGTGCAGCGGGCCGGCCAAGGAAAATGTCCGTCGACGGGTTTATTTGGAGAAAGCAACTCCAGTCAGGGTTCAGCCGTGCTCTTAAACACGCACAAATAAGCCGGACTGTACATCCGTCGAGGCGGTGAGATCACATTCTTACAGCTCAATTACAGGGGGCAGAGGTTAACTAGTGCCCAGTGGTCATTAAAGGGGAGTCTGTTATTCCAGTGAAATGTTTCAGACAGAAAGGGTGCTATTTCCCATTTCCTCTCACCTGTTCGCCACAGACCGTCTCTCTTGATCCCATTTCAACACCCTGGCAAACCACAGGACCAGCTCAGCATCTAGGAACACTTTAGACTGCCATACACGGACACACAAATACACGTTTTCACATTCCCTATTTGCACTCAACACATCCGCACTCATTTTCTTATTCCAAAAACACCCACGCTCTTTCTCCCTCTTAAGAGTTTAAGCAAACTTAGTCTTTCCCAAATCCAGCTGACAGGTTTCTATAAGCCTCCACCAGGAAACTGACAGCCCAGTTCCCCAGAACACGCACACACACGCACGCACACACACACCCAAATGTGTAAAAGCATGGCTAAATATCCCATGTGAATGAGTATAATAAACGTTTAGAAATGGACTGCTGGAAAAAATGCACAATGTGAAAGCGATAGAGCACCTCAGTTTAATATTAGATTTGACATGTTTTTCTTTTCAAATGATTTATGGCAAAACTAGCCGTGTGTAAAGTGAAATATGAAGCTTGTGTGTTCGGAGAAAGTGTCATTGGAGTCACCGAGACAAGCACAACTGCAAAGCTTCAGCATTTAAGATGAAACTCGGACAGAAAGGTAATCAAAAACAGCAATGGAAAGCAGACTGGACCCAAAAGGACTGAGATCAAAGAGAGAGAAAACAGGAAGAGATGGAAAACTGCAGCAAGAGTGCTTAAAATAAATCCGCTTTTGTCCCCTTGTCTATTAATGTATTTTAAAAATACATTTTAAATCCCGCTCTATGATGAGCAGGTTTTTAATTTTTGAATTACTCATTTTATATATATTTTCGGGGGCACAAGGTCAAAAATGTCCGGGTGATGCAACTTTTTATCATGAAGGGGGGCCTCATTAAACAAATTAAATTCTTGCGGGGTAAAAAAAAAAACCTTTGAACTCTAAAATTAAAAATGTTTAGCATATTAGCTTTTTTAAATAAAAAAATACATTTATTCTAACAAAACTGCTTCACTGCATATTAATACAGTATTTGGGGGAAAAAAACTTTGTAAAATAAAAGTCCTGTAGTGTGACCAACAAAGTCATGTGGTCCAACCAAAATGGGGAAAAAAACCTTGAATGATGTCATAGAGAGGACCCTGCAGACAGAAATGAACACTTTCTTGAAAATGGTCAAATAATAATAATAATACAAAGAGTACATATCTAAGAACTTGGCACAAGTGTTTCAAACTAGATTTTTCTTGTATCGTCATTGACCCATTAAGAGTTGTCTTAACACCTTATCTTGCAGGTTGACATACGCTAACTAGTGTTGAAGGGAAAATTGTGTGCCTTCACTACAAAAACAGAAACTGAGACACCCTCCACAAACTCTGCCAGTCTCCTAGAGAGGCTGAGCCTATGCCACACTGACGAAGGAAGGGGGAGGAAGGCACTCAGTATCCACGCCTGACTCCACCACTTGCCGTCTGGGCATGACCTTGCATGTCTCCATACTTGCTTCCAGATGGTTCCATCCAACTAAGGGAAATAATATCAGCCGTGCTAAAAACGTGGGGACTGTGCTAAACATGGCTGTAGAAGCGTACGACTCTGCTCGCAGAACTACCCTGTGCGGAGGAATGCAATCGAGAGAAAAACCGTGTCAGCTGTAGCCCCAGGGACGATAGAAACCCTGATTAAAGACCACATCAGTGCTTTGATACAGCTCGCATCCAGATTAGAAATGGTTTCATTGTTTGATCACAATGTTTCTCTTCCAAGCTCAGAATGGAAATAAAAAAGGTCTGCTTTGTTTTTTGTGCAAAATTGAAATCTGTTTGTATAGAAAAAAAAAAAAATAATGACACTTTTGAAATTGAAACACTTTGGACCCTTTGGTCTCTTTTTTGATGAGAGTGATTAATCTGGTTCTCTAGCAAGGAAGAGATGAAGTAATTTTGAAATACATCCTTTACTGAAAAGATCAGCTTATTTACAGCATTAATTTACAACAGCCAGTCCATGCAGGTTTATACTGGTCTAGCTGACCAGCATTGACTTTAAGCTGGTTGACTAAGAAAGTCTTAAGCTTGAGAAGAAACCTATGGTGACACCATCTAGTGACAGATATGGCTGTTTCTTCACACCTTTATGTAATTTACCACACTAAACAATTTTGCCCATGTGTCATTTCGAATGAACATGTAAATTACCAACTTAAAATATCCTTTTAAAATAAAAAATATATTATTTACATATAGCTAACTATAAAATTAGCCATAGTAACACAAATAAGTTGCCTATTTTTAATAAGTTGCTCACCAAGCCTGCACTTATATGACCAATATACAGTAAAAACAGCAATATTGTGAAATAATATTAAAATATGAAAAAGTTACTTTTGATATTTTAAAATTGTATTTATTCCAGGGATGGTAAAGCTGAAGCAGCCATTACTTCAGTCTTCAATTAAGGTGTTAAACTGAAGAAAAAGAAAACAAAAAAAAAGAATTACATGTGTTAGCGAGTTCATTTTGACAGCCCTAATTTTAACATAAAAAAAAAACAACATACTGAGTCTAAGCATTTGAATAATAGTGCAAATTGAGAAAAACAATTCTCCAGTGATAATTACATATTAATTACCAATGAGAAAAGTGCAGAGTTATCAGTTTATTTGCTAAAAATCCACTAGGCCAAAAGCACTTCTAGTTAAAGAAACACCCATATACTGTCAATTTTATCCAGAACACATTAAAGAGGTTCAAGACCTGCCGTCAAAAACTTAGTTGTTGCATTTCAGTGACTACAGTAAGAAGTATTAAACGCAAACCGCCTGGCACTCTTTCAAACCTGGCCTTGCTTGTGTTTATTGCCCCTAATAACACGTGCAGACCGAGGAAAAGGTAGCAGTGGCATAATGGCAGGCTTAGAGGGCTGTGAGAGTGAAATCCCGTTGTGAACATGTGCTCGGGTGCCAGAACGCTAGTCATGTTTTATTACAGGTAATTCGCTGGCGATTTCAAAGATTGCCAGAGCGTTTTCATCCAGTCTGATTTACGTAGGTGCTAAAGAAAGAGGCGTACACGCAGATGGCTGCATGTGCACTGGAGCCGGTTGGTAGCGGGGCAGGAATGTGTGTGTACATGTACCGGCGGATATGGCTCCTACAGCTGCGTCCAATTCAGGAGCCAGGAGTGCAAACAACACAGGAGCCTTTGGGGCTGGCATTTCCATCATGGCTGCCTGTGCATTATGCTGGATGCTCTACAGACACTACTGGCTGTACACAGTGTCTAATCCAGCTAAAGTCACAGTTACTTAGGGAACAAAATAATAAACCTGGTCACTTATGTGCATATGCAATGAACATTTATGTACCTCGACCCATACACAGTCACATGTC